TATATATATATATAATTACATATAATTTTACATAACTATATATGAAAATTTTTTCCCGAGATTTTGGTAATTGTAAGTTTTAATATTGTTACGTCCATACCAATAAGAATATAAAAAAATAATGATCGAAATGGCGTCATATGTGCGTGCGGGGTCGCGAAAGTAGAGGAAGGTAGAGATTGGAAAATATTTTCTTAGGAAGGTACGATCCAAGGCGCGTCTCGGAACGAGCAGCAAACAAAAAGATATCAGCCCATATTCAAATTCTCAACTAGCGGACTCAAATTGACAGATTTTTAAAGAGAGAAATAATTTATTAGTTCATTTGGCAAAAGAAAAATAGAAAATTGAAGAAAATTATTATTATTGATAATTTATACTTAACCAAGTAATTGAAATTATTAATGAACTTGTATTTAATGAATAACAAGATTTAAGAAAAGTTTTGAGAGATATTGTTATTTATTTAATTTATTAGTTATTTTATGTAACGAAAGAAAAATACTAAAGACGAATTGAATCAATATTAATAATTAATAAGCAGCGTGATTTAAAAAGAATTTCAGAGATTCGAACAGATTCATCATTTCATATCTGAAGGTAGAGGAAGTTGTAGAAAGAAAATTACGCATCGAATAGTATTCCTCAATTCTTTATTTACACTTATTTGGTAGCCGATTGATAGACGGAAGAGTTTCCAATTATTTACACGTATATCAGATGCAACGCAAGATAGTTGCAAGTTGGCGCGATTACTCGATATCTGTCGCAAATGGCGCGGCGGGAAGGGTAGCCTTCGAGAAGAGGCGTAGGGATCGCTCTTAGCAGTGCACTGTATAGTCCAATAGAATTAGACTGAAAAATTCCCAGTTTGGAAAAAAATTGTAAACCAGCATTTCTCTGCACGAAAATCTTCGGAAAGCCATTAGAAAAGAAATGAATATGTTTGAGACTTGAGACTTAGAAATATGCAAAAAAATCAAATAGTTGCACATGTTTTTTGCTTATATAATGAAAGATATTTAAGATTGTATGAAAAAAAGTTTAGTATGAAAATTGATTTTTGGCAGGGCACACAAGACGAGCTCAATTGTAACAATCTTTCTTCAGGCCAGACGTAGCGCTGTGCTACGAGCTTGTCTTTATATCTGGAATGAGTCAAATTGTGGACCAAATCGAAAGCCGAAAAGGCTTCGTTAGGAACGGTCGCGGCATCTCCGTTGCTACATTACAAAAGACTTGTACTCCCACTCTAGGGATCGTCAATTTTCCCAGCTTGAAACCAGACTACCGTTGCAAATAGCTCTCGAGTTATCATCCCTCTATGACTCCGCTAGTGCAGCGTAGTTTAAAGGTGACCTTAACTCCTCTTTCCTTAACAGTGTCCGCCACGACATTATCTGCACTCACTACATGCCGAACATCAATAGTAAACTGGCCAATAAAATCGAGATGAAACTGGCATGGCGTGCTTTTCTCGAAATGGCTTCTGCCAAATGCAAAAACCAGCGGCTTGTGATTCGACTGCGAATGTCCATGTCTTCAGCATATGCTGAAAATTTTTAATAGAAAGATAAATAGCTAGAAACCTCCCTATCGAATGTGCTGTATTTAGTTTTGGTTGGGCTTAGTTTCTTCGAGAAGAACGCTAAGAGTTCCCAGCCTCATTGTCGCCACGCTGCTGTAACGTTGCGCCGATGCTGTGTTCGGACGCGTCGGTAAAGAGTGCGAGTTCGGCGTGAATTTTTGGATGTGCGAGAAGCAGCTTACATTAAGTTCTTTTTCGATCGCCTGCTCGGCCTGAGGCGTCCACGACACTGGCGTCCTTCCTTTACTGTTTCCGTGTAAGAAGTCGCACGGTTAAGCGACGCCAATGTTTCTGCGGCTCTCGGCAAGAAGCGCTTATAAAAATTAATCATGTCAAGATACCTCCTTAAATCCTTCGCTGTCTCCGGTCTTCTATCTATAATTGCATATTGTCTGGATTCGCTGCCAACAGATTTCTCCGTTTACAAGGTAATTTGATCTCCAGCTAGCCAAATATGCATTTCGCGAGATTAATAATCATCCCTTTTATAGCCTCTCGAAAACTTTTTGTAGATGCTCCCGGTGCTCTTCTACTGACGCTGAACGAGGATATCGTCAATGTACGCGTAACAGAAGTCAAAATCACGCAGAACCTCGTCGATGAAACGAAACCGTTGGAACGTCTATATCGCATTCCTTAATCCGAAAGACATCGAAATTCATACATGCCGAATGGTAATAGCCATTGGAATGTCCTCTGCTACAGGAATCTAGCGGTACGCTCGAACGAGATCGAGGGTTGTAAAGATCATCTTTCCCTGCAATACTTGCGCAAAATCTTCGACGTGTTGTACGGGGTAATGATCTGAGACAGTACGTGCATTCAATGTCCCAGCAAGGTTGCCATTCCTCGCTTCTCTTCACTAATATGACACTAAATGTAAAGGCGACAACCAACATCCTTTAGAGAGCCGTGCGATTCCATCATCTTTCGAAATTCGCACTTCGCGGCCGCTAGATGATCCGGTGCGAGTCTACGCAGCTTGCACACCAGTGATTCCGGTTGTCTCGATGTCGCGTCTTATACCGCACCGCACTCGGTCCTTAGGTTTTGTAATTTCCGAGTATTGCAGCAATACATGGTACGGCGTCGCGTCCGCGACTATCTTGATACTTGGTGTATCGTACGCAGCGCCTGGGAGAAGATAAATTTGTTATTTGATCGACAAGGCGAAAGTTCTGCAAATCTACGAGATTTACGAGATCTACGAGAAGACCATAATGAGATAAGAAATCGACATCAATAATTGGTTTCGATACATCCGTTATCACAAATCATCAGCAATTGCTGACGCGTCGCAATCGAAGTTTAAGTTTAGGTTTAAGTTAAAGTTATTGTCTCGGTGCCGTATGTATTTATTGTCGAGCTGCTTCCAAGAACTCGTAGGTCGACCTCTAATAGCCCACAGACCATCTTCCGTGAGTACACACAGAGATTCGCGCCCGTGTCTATTAAAAATAAAAACTTTCATCGCTCTGTTAATGGCACTCCATTACGAAAAAATGGCGCGTCACCTGGTCCGAATCGCTCGTTGCCATCAACGATTAGCCAATGCATTTTGTTGCGCTGAGCAGAGCGGCTTGCATCGAACCAATTGGGCATCCGGCTCAAAACGTCAGTAATATCAACAAAGCCTATTTGCTGGCCACATGAACGCGCCCGACATCGATCACTGTCGCGGTTTCGACGAGATCGATTTCCGCCGATCGCCTCAATTGATTTTCAAAGAGCCGTCAACTGCTCCGCCATCTCCTGCATAGTCAATTACAACTGTGCCAATCTCACTTCTAACTTCACTTCGACTGAAGCTGCGTCGCTTGCGCCTTGCAATGCGTGAGCCCGTATAGCCTCAGCAATTTGAAAAGCTTGCGCCCAGATGGCCTCTACGATCGCATTTATAGTACGATGTCCGTGAGTTGATTGACTGAATCCACCATTACACGTACGAGTAACCAAATGTGAATGTGTGCCGGCAGCCGACCTATTTCATATAAGCCTTACCTATTTTATATAGGTAGGCTTGGAAGGAGCCACATCAACCTGCTCTTCCTGGTCCTATAGATCAACTATCCCCGTCTTTACGGTCGCTCCTGGTGCGCTCAGTAGGAGCCCTCGTAGTGCTCCCGCCATTTCGCCATGGCCCTCCTGCTCTTCCTGGCACAGGAGAGCCTTCAATCTCGGCTTTATGGCCTCGTCCTTCTATATCAGCTCGCGCTTTCAGATAGAAGCGCCTATGCCTGTCGGCTATTATACCGAATCACCGCCTCATGCGACACCGTTCGATATGCATGTGCGATTTTAAGTGCGAAGTGGCGTTTTAGCTTCGCGACATCCTGCACGATTATTCTGTCTTGGACCATAGTCTGAGTCCATTTGGAGGCCCCGTACGTGATCATGGAGGCAGCCGATGTTGACCATTAGTCTGGCCAACGCCGCAGCCAATAACATCCGAATAACATCCGAGCGTTATGCGCTCGGGAGAAGTAGGCGGAAATGGTCACGGAAAGTCCACTGCAAGTCCAAGGTAAGTTCTGGATACTTCATGATGGATCCTACCGGGACCGTCGCCCCCCTCCCCATACCCCCGAAGGACCATACCTCTCGGGACATCCTTTTCCATAAAGACAATGACAATGACATTTAGACCGAGACTCTAAGTTCCCGGCCTCTGATCGCTCTTACGATGCACGTCGCACCTAACTCAGCCCTAACGAATGCCTCACCCAGAGGTGCTCCGCTTACCACCAGTAATATATGCAGGGTTGGGTAAATTAATTTTTCTTTTAACTTAACTTAAGTTAAGTTAAAATTAACAACTTTGAAAATTTAATTTAGTTAAGATACAAGTTAATTTATAATGAAATTAATTAATTAAAAGTTAATAAAAAAAATAATTGAAAAATTAAAAATTAAATTTTTATATTTTTTTATTTCATGATTCCAGAGTTTCAGTCTTACAAATAACGGAAATGATAAATATTCATTT